ACTCAAACGCGCGCGGAAGCTGAGATTGAAGCAGCTGGTTGCAAGGACTTGAGAACTCAGGGATTTTATTACGTAAAGATTAAAAATAAAAAAGGGAAACGATACATCGAAGATGTGAGAAACATGCGGGCATGGTGCAAGCTGCTAAGACCTCAGATGTATGACAGATTTAAGCAGCTTGGATGGCTTGATACGGACAACGAAGAGAAGGGTCTGCACGCCATAGTACGGGACCTGACGAAAGTTGAAGTGTTGCTGTACTTTAAACTGTTAAATATTATTCCAGGAAGATCAAACAAGAAGTCGTCTCCCGCGGCCTCTGTCGCCAGCCATTTAAATATTGGCGCGGAACAATTAAGGAAGTTATAGGACGCAGGGAGAGGTGAATTAGAAGAAGGGGACACACCGTCTGTGACAGGTAGCCGGACGAGGGTTGAAGCTACTGCTCCCCCTGCTCCCCCATCTTATGAAGACGCGAGGCGGCTCCTTGGGACAGCCGGAAATGTACAAACAGCGGCGCTGTACCCAAAGCTCGACAATTTGGATGATGAAGGAGATGAAACCAACGGGAAACTGGAGTTCAACTCGCAAATTAAGCTCGATCGACCAACGCAGTTCACCCTCGGACGCAGCGAGAGTAATCAGTGTTGGCCTCAGCGTATACAGCCCTGGATAGACGATCAAATTCCGAACCAATTCCGATCAAAGTAGACATGCTGATGACTGGTGGTCACCATCTACCATCAAATTTTGACGGGCCGCACTTTTTTGTTCAAAGTAAGATCAGAACGGAGTGCCACCATTCATCATTTCCTGCCACAGAAAACATTTCTGCCAAGTTTTCATTTATAAATGAAGCAAATTAATGAGTTTGAGACTGATGACTCCCGACACTTTGATGCTACTTTGATCGGAATTGGTTCGGGAATTTGATCGTCTATACAGGGCTTATTGCCTAATATTACAGTGACACCGGCTACACCACCCACCAACTTGACAGCCGAGAGGTGGCCTGGAAGGGTGGAGACTGTACAGCCACCTATGGCCAGACTGCGGCGAACATTCCTTCAAGAAGACGAACAGCTATGGTTGGTGACCGATAAAGTACACGAAGTACTTAGACACAAAGTGCCCATTGGGAAGGTTGCAAAACTTCTGGCCTGTACGTACGATATCACCACCTGCACACCAGAGGAGACTTGGAGTATATTAAGGGGCTCAGAGGACGCCCAGCTGCAATGGATCGTAAGTACTCTGGTTCTTGCTGAAGAGAGAATACAATGGAAAGAGCTGTCCACGGGGATAAAGGGGGAGCCCCTTAGAAGGTTATACTGCGAAGGGGTTGGGGATGAAGACCCCGGGGATTGGAGACAACCAAAACCCGTACAAGAAGAAAGCACAAGCTCGCAAATTAATTCCCAGTCACCACATAAACTCAGTTAGGGAACTGGCATGTGGAGGGATCCCCAAAGGAGTGGGCAACGGGTACCTCTCTCATCGGCCAGGAGACAACTGAGTCGTAGCATCTCGGGGATGGCGACCCCTACCGGCGGGACCAGCGCGACGAATCCATTCGAGGTGGTGACACCTCAGGCGACGCCAACCAACAAAAGGCCGCGACCGGAGGAATTGCTTAATGACAAAAGTAAAAAGATGGCGCATGAGGAGGACCTTAAGGACATCTTCACGAAACTTGGACCTACTTTGGAAGTTCTAGAACAGGAAATTCGAAGCCTACTCCATGCCGAGAAATTAAAGCAGATCAGCGAAGATGAACTAACGTCAAACCTTCGGAGGATGTTGGTGCACACGGAATCTGCGACTAGGAAAGGCACCAGGCTGGAAGAGGCAATAACCAGCTGCGCTTACCTGAACGAGGAAAATGAGGAGCTAAGACACATCTTGAGAGTGAAAGAGGAGGAGATAAAAGAATTGAAGAGGCGCATAGATAATTCAGAACTCCCTTGCAGAGATCTACTACGTGTGCTTGAAGAAGGAGTTGCAGATGAGATGTGGGGAAAGCTTGTTAGGCAACCATGGCCGGGAGAAGGTTTCAAGGCGACAAAGGTGATCACCCGTGAGGATTATGAGGGAACCGGTATTATGGTGATTGTGATATCCGATGATGACACTGATGGGACGGACCAGGTCAAAGCCCTAAACATACCCAAGGGCGCTAAATCAGCCATTGAGAACGATGAACTTACTAGCGACAGCTATGCAAAGATCATAAGCACAGAGATGACCCATGTCAACGGTAAAGCGAAGCGCTTGGACACAACCACTTAAGTAGTCAAAATTAGATATGACCCCGATAATATGGAAGATACCACATGCGGAATGATCGAAGCTATGAGGAGGGTCTTTATGGACATGCCACAACTAGACTTCGTTTGTTGCACAAGATTAAGTGGCTTGCAATCGGAGATACGAAAGGTAGTTGAGCTACAAGGGCGGAAAACTAACAATACTAACGCTGTGTGGTTTGGACATAAAAAAAAGAGAGAAACAAATAACAAAGAGAATGAAGAGAATCCTGCCATTCCAATACCGAAGCCACGACAGAAGCTGGGACAACAAGATAGGCAAAATCTTTCGCTGGAGCAGTGGGGAAATCGGAGAGAGAGGAATTCCCCCGCTTGGAATCCGTGGCAGGACAGGAAGTACCGTCAAACAAACGCACAGAGCAGAAGAAACAAAAACGGCTCAGGCTCCTAAACGCCCAACGGTGGTAGTCTCTATGGGAGGACGCTCATATGGCGATATAGTGAAAGCTGTGAGAAGATGTGTCGGTACCCTAGGTGCAAAGATTGTTGATGCGAAGATGCATACAGGCGCAAAAGACCCGCAATATCAGTTGATAGTCAGCAATATGGAGGATGCTATCAAGATAAGGGACAAGCTGACGGATTCGAAACTCACGGCAACTAGCCGACAACCGCCAGTGCGCCCGGTAATAACAGGGATCGATGAAACCTTAACCGAGCAGGAGAAAAAAGAGGATCTCTCATTGAGCGGACTTGCGATGCACAATATTCGGTCGTTCCCATCAAACCGGTGGGGGAAAAAGTTAGTTTTGTGCGACGTTGCAGATGGGAAGAAGGGAAGAGAGAGATCTAAAAGAGAGGGCGAGTCAGTATCGGATATGCAAGCTGCACGGTCAGATTGTACGTTGGAACAAACACTTGTTACCGATGCCACGAAGAATGACACCACCAGAGGGAATGTAAAAGTTTGCAAGACTACAGTAAATGCTGCAGACGATGCAAACAAGAAGGCCACTTTGTAGTGAACTGTACGCAGAATCAGACACAAAACAGTCAAGGAAACCAAAACAGCGAAGAGAGGGGCCCAAACGATAGAGATCGATGACTGAACACCGTTTACAGCCAAACTGCATCCCCCCACGCAAGCAAACTCGTCAGTTCTAAGGACAGGCGGAACAGCGGCCGGGGGACATACATCAGACACCCTCGCTCGGTGGAACCCGACGAGGAACTACTTGGAGGAGGTCTACAGGCTTAGAGAACGCTGAGATAGGCGCGGGGGGCTCAGCACTGCCAGGGACTGTAACCCCTAGCTTTTTGAAATGAACAAAGAGATTCTGATAATGGCGGCAAATAATAAAAACGGATGTAAATTGTCTCATGATTTGGTAAACAGAGAAGCAAGAAAAAGAGGAGTTTCGGTACTAACGCTATCAGAAGCAAACGGGCCTGGGCTCTCCTCCTACGCCCTTGACTCCGGGTACAATGATGGCTTCGGTAGATCGGTCCCAGGGGATGGGGGGACCCTCCCCGAAGTGGGGGGCCTGAGGGGCGCCGGCTGCACCGGGGCCGGGGTCTGCCGTTCGAAGAGTGCCTTAGAGACGTCCGACGGGAGGATAGAGCGTTCGATGGGCCACACTTGCACGGGGTGTGGCCTGGAGGGGTCGTTTAATGGGTACGGAACACAGCGGCGTGCTCTACCCCCACAAAACCGGGTTTTCCCATCTCATAGCGGTCGGGTCGGTTAAGGGTAGCTTCGGCGGCTCTTCACCAGCTGATGGCCGTTGCCGTCCCGGTATTCGGTGGGCCCCTTTCATGGGGGGCGTTTTGGCGATCCTCATGATGGGGGCACTGTAGCGAATTTTTCCCCTCATCAACGAAAAAAAAAAAAAAAAAAAAAAAAAAAAAAAATCGAATTTTCTCCCGGTTGCAGTTGTCAAAAAATACTGGGAAAAAAACTGTAAGCTTCAGCCATTCACTACTTTTGAATGACACAATAAAAAAACGACCTAACTGACTCATTCACTGCATTATTTGGGCTTTGAATATGACCCAAGAAACCGTTCAACGGACATCCTACTCCGCACTAAATAGTTACTTATTGGAGTTTTGACCACATCCTGGAAATTTTGGCGGCCATCTTGAATTTGGGGTGTCTTTGGACAGGAAAGTGGTTTTTACCTTAAATTCGGAATCTACAATCAAAATTTACACAGAGATAGACGCTAAACTTGATTCCAGAATTTTCAGTCCCCATGCTTAAATTTTGGCTGCAATCTTGAATTTGAGGTGTTTGACAGAAAAGAGCCCAAACAACATCAAAATTCTGTTACTAAGCATTAAAATGAAGAGATTGAGACATTGTTAACACTTGCAGCACTTACAGTCCTACAATAAGTTCTTTGTGAACCTACGCCCCCGGTCTAAAACAGGAGACAAGAAAATGAATCAAAGTCCAACCATCAAAATCGAATTAATCGAATCATGATGATGATACCTTGTGCAACCATCAAAACAGCATAGCTTTCCGAATAGAGAATGTTTTTTTACATTTTTCAGTGGAAACTGCAACACTTATATTCAAACCCTTTTGGGCGGAGATAACAATTTTTTAAATTTTACAAAAATGAGACTTGTGTTCCCTCGCATTAGCGAAGCCTTTCCAGACCGAGGGGGGGGAGGGGGGAAGATCATCATTCATGTAACCAACTTTTTGACGAGCAGTTTGCTTACCTTATACCAGGGTGTTTTGAAGTTGCATGAGGGGATATTGCGCCTTGCTCCACCAAAGACTTGCTAAGATGCAACCATTGCCATACATTTTTTAGAGCTTCATCTGTTACCAGATCACCGTTTTGAGCAAGATCAGGCTGGAATCGATTTTTCGCACATAGTCAGTCAAAAGAGAAGAATTATGAGGCTTCATCATCAGAAAGCAATGTTCAATGGATCAGGTGCAATATCATAAAATCGTGCTTTGATGATTTTAGCTGATTGATAAGCGAAAAATGATAAGATCTGCCCTAACATCAACTTTCAACATCCTAGATTACAGGACACACCACTCATTAAAAAAACATGGTGTATAAAATCATTCACTGCTGTAGTGCATTAGGGTGGTTCTAATTTTTCGACTTTAGGAAAATCAAATGGTTGACCCCCCTCCCCCCATAAAGTTGTCTTTTGGTGTGAAATGAACGTGCAAAAAATTTTAGCTGGATCGGATCATCCTAAGTGGTGCCACCGGGGCCAACAAGTCTCCAAGCGGGAACTTCAAATTTGGGACGATCGCGTATTTCCGTCATTTCGCGAATTTTTTTTGCCCCTTTAAAATGTAGCTGCGGCTTTGTAATTTTTAGAGATAATACACTTTTAAGGGCCTCTCATGAAAAAAATGACTTAAGTTACCTCAGCGCTTTTAAAATGCCTTTTTTCACCCCTCAAAGTGGCCACATAGTGCGATTTCGCCGATTTTTCCTAAAATTCTCCGTGCGAGGTGCGCCTTTTTTTCTACCTTTGAAATGTCGCTACAGCTTTGAAATTTTTTGAGATATTTATAGAGTACTTTACAAGAAAAGTAACACACTTTACTGTTTGTTAACTAAGGCCAAGTTTACACTTGGGCCGTCGATTCGGCCGTCGAACCGAGATTGAGATGGAAGCTTATAATGACCTAAGGCCTTGTCTCCACGGGCCGTTTCACGGGATTGGTCCCAGGGAAAAATCCCACTTACAAAGTTGGGAAAAATATTGAGTTAATCAATATTTTTCCCAGTACCAAGTATGGTCCTTGTACCCCTAGGACCCACTGAGAGAGGAAGAAGTGAAAACGAATTGTGCGATATTTTGTTGATTACTCTTTTGTTCATGTTTGTTCAGTTAAAATAATGTGTCTACTTGACAATTGAGTACAATTATTATATTAATTCCGGTTAAATGCTCGACTTTATCTAATTTATCTTCCTGCGCAAACTAGTCCCAGAACCGTATGAGCCTCGTCCCGTGGAGACGGTAACTGGGAAAAATCCCAGAAAATTCATTCCTGCGATTCGAACTTGGGACAAATCCCATGAAAACGTCCCGTGGAGACAAGGCCCAAAGCTCAGAGAAAATATTCAATATGAGCGTAGGAACGGTTACCGAGTTCCGGGAGGCGGGAGAGAGNGGGGGGGGGGGGGGGGGGGGGGGGGGAGGGGGGAGCGGCGGCTGCGGCAAAATCCCATCTAATATTCGCCGTTTTCTTGTTGAATAGATGTTGCCGCGGACTTCTAGTCGTTGTTCACACATGTTCAGCCTATCCATACTACACTACTTTTTCACGTAGAATTCGAATTTTACGTCGAAAATCGAAGCATCGAATCTCTTTATAGATTTTTCCCTATGTTACAAGGAACATTGGTTGTTTCTGGGATCGATATTTGTCTGTATCGGTTGATAAAAGAATTACTGTTTCTTGTAAAATCGGAAAATCGATAAAGCGAATCGAAATATCGATTCCTTGACGTAAAATTCGAAATCTTTGGGGAAAAATAGTGTAGTTTCGATAGGCTGAACATGTGTGAACAACGACTAGAAGCCCGCGGCAACATCAATTCTACAAGAAAACAGGGAATAATAGATCGGATTCTATTTTTTCTTCCCCCCTCCCCCCTGGTTCCCGGAAACCGTTCCTACGCTCATATTGAATTTTTTCTCTGAGCTTCAGGTCATTATAAGCTTCCATTTCAAACTCGATTCGGTGGCCGAATCGACAGCCCAGACAGCAGACCATTTTTGGAGAGCTTCATGGAATATTTGAGAAATTTTCGGTTCTGATGGGTAATTTCCGGTCTCCAAAATTTACCATGTTGCTAAGATCGATGGTTTTAGTGTTCAAGTACATAAAATAACCATATTCAAGAAACCTAGGCATTATAACTATCGGGGAAATTTATTTCCTATGATATAATGCGACTTACCATCGGTAAGTTGCCCCTTATAGCTCTAAAATACCTTTAAGTCAACTTCATTTTCCAGGAGCTCAACGGAAGCTTTTCTTTTTGGCTTAAACGACTCGGCAGACACTACTTGATGAATCTGAAGCGTTTTTGCTTTAGATTTGTCAAAAAATTTAAACGCGTTCAGGCAAACCGTACCGGGAGAATGTTACGAAAAATCGGCGAAATCGCACGATAAGGCTCCTTTGAGAGGTGGAAAAGGGCATTTCAAAAGTGGTAAGGTAAAATAAGTAATTTGTCTCGTAAAGTACTCTATAAAGGTGTTACCACAAAAAATTTCTAAGCCGTAGTGACATTTTAAAGGTAGAAAAAAGGCACACCGCGCAAGGAGAATTTTAGGAAAAATGGGCGAAATCGCACAATGTGGCCACTTTGAAGGGTGCAAAAAGGTATTATAAAATTGCTGAGGTATCTTTAAATATCTTTTTCATAAGAGACCCTAAAAAAGTGTATTATCTTTAAAAATTGCAAAGCCGTAGCTACATTTTAAAGGAGGAAAAAAATTCGCAAAATGACGGAAAAACGCGATTGTCCTTTTGAAGTTCCCGCTTGGAGACTTGTCGGCCTCGGCAGCACCACTGAGGATGATCCGATCCACCTGAAATTTTTTGTACGTTTATTTCACACCAAAAGACAACTTTATGGGGGGGGGGGTCAAACATTTGATTTTCGTAAAGTCGAAAAAGAAGAACCACCCTAAAGGCACATCCCATGGATTTTTTTTTTTTTTTGGGCCCGTAGAATTGCCTCACGGCACACCCGGGACCTCTTCTGTTGTTAACTGACCCATCCTTACTGAAACAGAATAAATGTGTTTCTTTTCTTAATTCAGTGCTGATGATAATGTACAGGGTGTTCTAAAAGTCCAGCCCCCCCCCCCTTCTAACTTTTGAGCTGTTCCCGATAGAAAAATGAAACTTTGAGAATGTTCCTATCTCAAAGGCATAGAATACAATAGAGTCACAATGTACTGGAGCGCTGATGAAGTCAATCCATGAACGGGCTTTTCCCAGCCGCTTGTGCTCCGAAAAGTGTGAACCAAGTGTGAACCCAACGGCACTTATTACGGAGGCTTGTGGAGATATCAAGAACTGCTTGTGTTTTTTCGGTTTTTTTTTATTCAATCAGTATTAATTTTTGCTTATTTTGCTATAGACAGGTAGTCAAAGCCATAGTGAATCCATTAATGTATCATACTCTTGAATAATATTAAATAAGGGACGTAAATTGAGACTTAAACCAAGTGTGAACCGACTAGCATTTATCATCACGGCTGCTTACGGGAAAAGCAACGACTGCGTGTGTTTTTTTCGACACTTTTTAATTCTATTAATATTAATTTGTGCGAATTTTGCTATAAATAAATAGTCAAAGCCATAATGAATCCATTGATGTAAGTTACTCCTGGATAATATTCATCTAGGGATTTAATTTCTGACTTATACCAAGTGTGAACTAACCGGCATTTTTTAACACGGTGGCTACTGAAGAAATCAACGACTGCTTGTGTTTTTTTGACTTTTTATAATTTCATCTATATTAATTTTTGCAAATTTTGCTTTAAATCGATATTCAAAACCATAATGAATCCATTAATGTATATTTACTCCTGGATAATATTCATAAATGGACTCAATTTCAAACTTATTACCGGCCTACTTACAGTTAGCTGGTTCAATGTGTGTGGACCTAGCACACGACGTGTTTCTGTAGCGGAGCCGAGTCGGGGGTAGGGAGCGCTGAGCGCGAGACTCTGCGCATGCGTCATCGCTAGTCGCCGCACACTAGTCGCCGGAGCACTGGACAAAACAGCCTCCAAAAGTGGCTCCATCGGCGCTGCAGTACATTGCGACTCTATTGTACTCTATGCTCAAAGGGGACCATCTTTTTTTGGGGGGGGGGGGGG